ACCACCATCATCCTATAATTTTCAGTTACAGAAACAAATTAATTTAAGGAGAAAAAATCGAGCTTATTGAATTCGCCCAATTTTTGGAATTAGGGTTCACTGAATTTGCCCAAATTCATAAATTAGGGTTTCCCAAATTCATCACTTACCCGATTTTTTGCGCATGTATTGTATCTCCTTCCTGGATTTTGAACACTCCACGATGTTTTCGTAACAACATTCATCCCGCAGTTGCATAGTTGAGCCATTGCCGCCGTCTCCAACCTAATTTTCGCGAAGAAGAAGAATGAAGAACATGATACGCGCCTTTTTTTTAATAAATCTGGTAAGACGATGAAATGACAAAATTGGCCTTCATATGTAATGCAAAATGGCAATTTTACCCTCAAATATGGAGCGTGCGACTCCCATGCTCGCTTTTCCGGTGGAAAACGAGTGGAAAACGGCCGGAGGTTGCGATACAGGCAAACCCGTGTATTAAAGGTTGCAATATAGTACAAAATTTTGTTTAGGTTGCAAATCCACAAAACGCGATTAGTACAGGTTGCATAAAATTAATTACCCACGAAATAAACGCCAAAATTGTTCTTCACAAAGTAGATCTTTTATTTTTTTGATGAAATTGAATGCTGGAAAATTAAAATATGTATGACCCACAAAACTTACTTACCCTCGTGGGCTAATTGAGCAATCAAAATAAAAATGTCCAAAATTTGTTCTCCACAATTTAGATTGAATTGAATGCTCGATAATTTGAATGCGTCTTGGAATATAAGATCAAAATATTTAGTAATGGACTTGGTATAGTCGTATGGAGAATGCTTGAAAATTTAAATGCATTGTGGAGTTTAAGATTAAAATATTAGTAATGGACTTGTATAGTTGTATGTATGGTATAGTTGTATGTAGGTCTGTAAACGAGCCTAGCCGAGCTCGCCTCGTTAAATAAACGGGCTGGAAATGGAGCGCGATTCGTTTAAGCCTTGAGCTCGAACCTTAACGAGTCGATCTCGAGTTTTAACGAGTTGAACTATAAAAAATAATAAAAAATTTATCTTTTTTAGCCTTTTCAAGCCGAGCTCAGCTCGACTCATTAACTAAACGAGCTTTAAATGAGCTCGAGCTCCGACCGAGTCGAACCAAACTCGCTTAATTTAACAGCAATGATTGTATGGAGTCTTTGGTAAGAGGTGGCCACGGCCTGCCCGGCCCAGTCAAGCCCGTTGGCCAAGATCCAAGCCTAGTTCGGATTTTAACTGAGCAAGTCCAAAGCCATGTTACATGTTTTTTCCAACCTGGCCCGACAGGGCGGGTTTTCACCGAGCCTAAGAAATCACCACGTAATTTGTTTCGATTTATATTTATTTATTTATTATTTTTCTTTTTTGGAAGATCCCAAACCAAAGTCGAATCCGGCCCGGTCCATGGGGCTAATGGCGGGACACGAGCCTAGATACAAATCCAGGTCCCGGCAGCCCATGTTTTGGCCAAGTCTATTTCAAGTTATTGCCTGCAACTTTCAAAGTTCACTATATAATATACTAATTTAAATGGAAAGCTATACATGTAATTAACTAAAACATGCAAATGCCTACCTAAATTAATTGATATAATAGTTTACACATCAAAATTTTATTTTTACATTTAAAAAAAATATATGTAAAATATTAAAATTAATTTTCATAAATTAAATTTGAACGATTCAACCGGCCAAACATAGATTATTCCCAGTTATTTGGCAGCCGATTTTCAAAAGAGGACCGTCTGGTCCGGTTTTCACAACCATGACCTCTCACTTGAAAAGAAATAA